GACTTGAGACAAAAGCTTGGTAATGTTTGTCTCCCATCAACAGGTTCCCTTTGGTAGACTGGCTCAACAAGATGAAATCTGAATTTCACTTGAGTGAGGACCAATCAACCATCCTATCTGTCTTCAAACTGATGAACCCTAAATTAGGGTAGGAAAACTCTTTAGAGTCTTTAAAACCAACAGGCTTCAAGGAAAGACTGGATTTTTCTGCTTCCTGAGAACCCTTGCTGCTTGCAGAGAGTTTTTTTCTCTGCCTGTTGCATGTGGTTTTTCAATGCCAATAAATACCTTACCTGCTAATTTGGTGTGTGGTGAAATTTCTCCACTGCTGCCTGTTGTACTTCAGTTTTTTCCACACCTTTTCTTTAACTAGCAGAGAAAACAAACTCAATCAAGACTCTCTAGACTGCCTCGTATTGGGTGCTTGTCTGGGGTTTCTACTGTAGACTGTATCAAGGTATGGGAATCAGAGCTCCAAACTTTACCTACTTTAATGTCAGGAGTTCTCCAGTATTCTGAAAAGGAAGTTTCTGTCCACACAGGAGTGTCCTATCCAGAGTCCAGAGTAGAAGCATTTTAGTTTGTATGCCCTTCTCTTGACAGTGGATGCCACAACTTTGTTCAAAAAAAAATCTCTAGAACTTTTATGTTGTTCAAATATGAATAATCCCATTCCTGGTTGGCAGGTGAGGGAAATAGCTTTAAATCTTGCTTGCTTATTTTCCTGACTTCTCTTTGGTGTTTTCCAATGAGTCATCCTTGGCTGTGAGGATGCTTGAATCTGGGGATGCTTGTCTGAGCCAAGGAAGGTGAGCAGGAGCTGGAACTTGGAGGCTATTAAGGGGGACGGCAAAGGAACAATTATAAGTGCCACTGCAGTGGAACAAGATGTTTTCCAAGTCAGAATCTGGCTACAGTCCTTGGGGCTCTCCTTTTAGTGTTGAGTTAGGTTTTTTAAGGTCAAGGAATGTTAATAACAATAAAATTTGATGTGCTTTATAAACCTTCAGTTATAGCAAATGAAAGCAACCATTGTAAAAAAAAAAAAAATCTGCCATGCTCATGCATAGGAGAGAAGTCAAATAAGATACGCATTTCCAAATCATTCAGCTCTTTAAAACAATGAGTTAGATCTGTTTGTACCGGTAGAGAATGATCTCCAGGGCCTATTAGTAAGTGGAAAAGTCATACATCAAATTAACGCTTAGTAAGAGCTCAACTGAGCAACCATCTCTATGTTACTGATTTTTAAAAGTGGATGTGTATATTACCTGTGCAATTAAAAATAGAGCAAGATGGGTGAAAATGAAATATTTGGTATTTATGCAGAAAGACAAAATTACCCTTGGAGTTGAACTATAACATGAGAACCCAGGTGGTGTCTCAGGAGTGTTTTCAGGACCTGGGTGCCAGTGGAACGCTTCTCTCCCGCACACATTCTCTTGCAGAACAGAGGATTGTAATTCTGATTATCTTCGATTTCATCTATCAGTGCATAAATCCCGAAGGTGGCAGTGGTTTTGCTGTCCTGTCAGCTGAGCTCTGGCGTCATCCCCTTGCTGGTTCTCATCAGAGATACTTCATATTATGTTGCTAAATGACTGGAGAAGTGGCTAAAAGATCTGTTACTTTAATCCATCTTGGCAAGGAAAGGCTATGCCCAGAGGCTCTGATAAAACCAAACACACACACACACACCTCTGAGTTTATCTACTGTGTGAACTTTATGGGAAGGAAGCTTGTTAAATGATGAGAGCTCTCTCTCTCTCTTTCAGTTGAGAAGTTTTACCCTCGATTTTGATGAATACAGATCATTTAAAATACAATTTACCAGCCGGGCTGTGGTGGCACACGCCTTTAATCCCAGCACTTGGGAGGCAGAGGCAGGCGGATTTCTGAGTTAGAGGCCAACCTGGTCTACAGAGTGAGTTCCAGGACAGCCCAGGCTATAAGAGAAACCCTGTCTTGAAAAACCAAAATAATAATAATACAATTTATCCTATCTGTTGTTAAATGTATCTAAGCAATATACACATATCAGTGGTTCAGCACTTGCATAGGCATTTATGAAGAATTGTGTTCATGCCTAGCACTGTGAAAACCCCAAAACCAGATCAAAAAGGGGTCATCTCGTATTTAACAACCCAGGGGAAAAGCCTGCCTTACAGTGACTTTGCCACCCAAGAATGCTTCCTAGCCCATTCCCCTTGTGAAAGTCAGCCCATTCCAACACTTCTGCTAGCCCCATCCACTACAAAGTGCTCATCTGGATTTCCTGGAGCTTCTCTTTCAGGATCAGCCTGATTCTAGGGCAGCAGTTCTCAACCTGGGGGTCTCAACCTCTCTGGGGGTCAAAGAACCCTTTCACAAGGATCACATATCATCTATCCTGCATACCAGATATTTACATTACGATTCAAACAATAGAAAAATTACAGATATGAAGTGGCAATATGAAATAATTTTATGGTTGAGGGTCCCCACAATGTGAGGCCACCATATTGTTCTAGGGGAAATCACCTGGGTGGAGAGAGGAACGGTTTGGGAAAGCTTTTCTATCTATCCATTCTGCAGTCTTCCAAGTGATGACGTCACAGACAGCCTTTAAGCCATTTTGTTGGGGCTCTAAGTAAATCTGAGTAGGAACCGCACCAGGAAATCTTATCTGGTCTCATGATTTTCTGCTTCTCGTGGATGGAGCCAAGACTCAACTTTATGATCTAGCTTTGCGTCTGTATCAAGTTGCCTAACGTCTCTGTGCCTAGGTGTCATCTCTGTAAATGGAGATCCTTGGCCTTGCTTGAATTAAGGAGGTACAAAATACTCAGGGATTCAAGATTGCTCAACAGCCCAGAGTCCTTCCTCAAAGGGAAGATCTTTACCCCCAGACCCCCTTAGTTCTTGTCAGGCCTGGAACAAAAGGCCACAGGAATGAGAAAAGCTGCCATACCTACTTGTCACTTCAAGAGACCAAAGAAAATAGTGTTAACCATGAAAACAAAAAGGCCAACAATTGTCCTTTGATAGTGTCTCAGGACAGATAGGACAGAACACTGGGGGAGGAGAATTCATGAAGGACAAGGTATTAGTGTGTTGGTTTTAAGGGCAATGTCTCGTTCTGAAGGTTCTTGAAACACAATTTACTAGATGAACAGCCAAAGCAGGGTGGGGTAAGAATAGCAACCATGTTCACTGAAGGGTGAGTGAGGAGGGACAGACAAATGACGGCCAACATAACAACCATAACACCCTAATTAACGCTTCCCTCTGCTACCGACACCCTTCCTTCACTCCTCTTTCATAAAAAATAAAAAGTATTTTTGTGGCTCTTAAGATAGAACCTTTTCCTTGAACTATAAAAAGATCTAAATATTTATATTTTTCATATTTTAACATCTCAGTGATTATAAGCCAGAAACAGGTATTTTTGCCTCTCTCAAGAGCAAAGCTTGTGGCCTTTTTGTTTCCGTGTTAGGAATAGAACACGAGAGCCCCATGTATCTAGGCAGATGCTCTATCATTAGCCCATGAGTCTTCAGCCTCAAATGCACATTTTTCTCAGGCTCTCTCAAGCTTTCCTCACAGCACTGGGAAACTTTACTGCAGCATCAGAGTTGTGCTTCTGCTAATAATTGGACTCATATCTGTCTGTGAACCACTCTGACCCATTTTGAGGTAAATATTCTGATTAGCCTTCTGTTTTAGAACACGGTAAGCGTGCCGTGCACTAATTATGGCCAGTGACACCACAAAGTAAAATGCATTACCGAATGCTTTCAATTTCTCATAATGCTGGTACGATGGCATGTCATGGGGCCATTTTAGCCGCAGACATCACTCCAGAGAATTCCAAACAGATATAGACAAGTGGCACCAAGACCCATCTCCTTCCCCTCGGGCTGATTACCCCCAGGAATAGGATGTCCCAAAGCGACACTTCCCAGCCAACTGGAGTGCTGATAAGTCCAGTTATCAGAAAGATATTGCTGTGAGTGTGATGCACAGTGCTTGCATTTTCTTGATAGGTTAGTCATATGAAAGCTGACAAACAAGGAAAAAGAGCAGCGATGTGGTGCAATATTAACAGGCAGCTGTCCCTGGCTTCCCGATACGTAGGATGACTCGCATTGCTGAGCGGTGTGGTCACTGCCAAAGGAATGGCCCTCTCACATTTCTTCCTGATTCGCATACACTGCGGCCAGCTTGTCATCTCCCTCTTGGGCTTCCCAGACACTAAGTCTGGAATGAAAATTCACCTGCCTCTGAATTGGCCACCGGTGGGGGCAGGGGTGTGACTTGGCTTCCCAGGCTGGAAGATTATCTCACCCAGCGCTAGCTATATAACGGGCTGGTGTGGAGGGGCTCCACAGGGTCAGCTCCAGGGGTTCATCCACAAGAGAGAAAAGCATAGACTCACGGCTGTCAAAATGATGGTACTGAGGGTAGAGGAACTGGTACGTAAGACATCTTTTTTTTTTCTTTATCTGACAAAACCTCTTTCATTTTGGCTTTTATTTGGAAATTCAGATGATCTTTCTTTCTCAGGAATAATGGGCGGTTGGCATTAGTGACTTCCTAAGAGAAGGTGGTCGTGTGGGTTAAAAGTAAATTTTCGTGTGCCAACCTGATACACATCTTAAGTGGGAGGGGAAGACAGGCACCTGAAGTCATCCTGGGATACCTGGAACTATGCTCCTGACAGTGCAGTGTCTGGAGGAGCTGTCACTGGGGAGGAAGGACCTCCTGTGGCATCTTTTGTGGACAGTTACCCCAGGATGGGGAGCTTTGCTTCTGCCTTCAACATCTTCCTCACAAACAGGTAACAGGCAAAAAGGACAACAATGAGTCCACAGGGGCATTCCTTCCTGGGGAGTTCAGAAGTGGAGAATATGAAGCTGCTGTTGCTTTGGAGAAACAAGAGGACTTGAAGACACTTCCGGCCAACAGCGTGAACCTAGGGGAGGAACAACGGAAAAGCGAGAAACTGCGAGAGGCAGAGGTGAGGACCTCCCTCGAAATCTACTAGTGGGAGCGGGGTATGGAGGTCCCTGTGGAAGAAGGAAAGAGAGAAGGAGAGAAGGAAAATAAATAAAAGCTGTTCTAAAGATGTCTCCTCACCAGATTTGAGGCACGTGATGTGAAGAAGCAGGGTACTTGGAAATGACTTGGGGAATCATTCTTGGAGTCCTCCTATCTGGAGGATTGAATCAATGACTCAATGTGCTATGACCACGTTTCGATCAAAGGACAGAAAGATAATGATAACCAGAAAAGTTCCAGTGTCACATACTGCCTACTTAATTTGAGCCAAGGAGATTTGTTCTTTTCAATAACACAAGTTGTGGTCCACAGATCATAGAATAAGCTTGCTATGTTTATTGAAATTTATTTATTGAATTTTTATAGGTTACTAACACAAATTAGAAGTGTACCAGTTAGCGGTAATCTGTGTTTCAGAGACTCTTGAGAGAGAATGGCATCAGTAGTTGAGAACTTTATCTGTATTTTCTATTCTTGGGTAAAGCATATGTTAGTTTTTGAGAATGAGAAAACAAGTTCTATAGAAATATGGGGTTTATGGTACTAATAACAAAATGATTACTGAGAGACTATGTCGTGCCTCTAACCAACTAGTCAAGGGCTAATTCTACAAGCAAAGAAAGTAAATATGATTCAGATTAAAATTAAACTCCAAATACTTTAATGAAGATAGACACTTACTTGAAAGTATTTTAAATTTCCTTTTTGCTCAAACCACTCACACACTTTGCTCAGAGTATGCAGATTTTGTTTAGGTACCACTGTAGTTAGAACCCATCATATATATATATATATATATCACTTGATTTCTTTTCCTTTCTTTAGCTCAAAAAGAAAAAACTAGAACAAAGATCAAAGCTTGAAAACTTAGAAGATCTTGAAATAATTGTTCAACTGAAGAAAAGAAAAAAATACAAGAAAACTAAAGCTCCAGTTGTGAAGGAGCCAGAACCTGAAATTATCGTAAGGGCTGATAGTTCCTGTGCATGTCCGTAGGCTGCAGGGGTGAGTCCTGTGGAGGGAAGATGACAGCAAAGCTCACGGCCACTTTCTATTTCTTTCCCCTTTCTATCCTTTCTCCTTATTTTTTCTCTTCTTCGTTCTTTTCCACTTTCCCCTCTACTCTTTACGGCCATCCTCTTCCTTCTCCTCCTGTCTGTCTCTTCCTCTCCCTTCTCCTCCTGTCTGTATCTTCCTCTGCCTTCTCCTCTGTCTGTCTCTTCTCCTTCCTCCCTTCCCTCACTTTAGACTGAACCTGTGGATGTGCCGAGGTTTCTGAAAGCTGCGCTGGAGAACAAACTGCCAGTTGTAGAGAAATTCCTGTCAGACAAGAACAGCCCCGACGTCTGTGATGAGGTAAGCCTCGTGCTTTCCTGGAGGCTGGCAAATACAGTCGCAATGTCTTCCACCTAAAGTTTCTCCAGCTGTTGCAACATCTGCCAGTAGCATAAAAAAAGGATGTATTGTTCCTCTCTGCCCCACAACCCCCAAATACTAGATTAGCATGATGGATTGCATGGGGCTTTTCCTGTTCTCATATAATTCTGTTTGATTTATATGAAGACAGTTCATCTTCAATTTCTTAGATCCTTGGTCTAGACTTCCATAAAGGCAAGGCCAAAAAATTACTTCTGCTGAAAAATATTATTAGTAGTGTCTTTGATCAGACCCAAATGCCCCAACATTTGAAGGGGAAGGTTGAACTCCCTGTCTAGTTCTGTCGTTTGGCTTCCAAGTTTGGAGCAGCTCCTAGGTGCTGTCTTCATCTCAGTCTATCTGTAAGCACAGTCTCATTCCATTGGCCTAATGGTTCATCAATACAAAGCAACTTGTCAGAAATCACGAATTTACATTGCTTCTCTGGGGAACTGAGATGGCAGCTCACCCAAAGCTGAGTTTCCTTTTTCAAAAAAAAAAAAAAAAAAGAATGTATTGGTTTTTAATATTCAATCTAGCAACAATTCTAGATGGAAGAGAAGCATCTGATCTACTTGGCATGTTTTAGCATTGAGATGGTTTTTGAGATTTGAAATCCACATCCATCCCTCCTCTGTCTTGGTCTTTAGCACTTAGGAAGGGTCTAGGACAGGAAGGAAGCTCAGGTTCTAGTTGCCAGATAATTATTCTAATCCTGTAATTCCAGTGAGCTCTGGCATTCGGATGCATGAAGAATGGCTGGCCTTTCTATCAGTTAGGTCATCATAGACCCAGCTTCATAGCTCTTAAAGGATTATACACATTTTTATACGAACCGCTATCTCTTGTTTTAATCTCCGACAGTATAAACGGACCGCTCTCCATAGAGCATGCTTAGAAGGACACTTGGCGATTGTGGAGAAGTTAATGGAGGCTGGAGCCCAGATTGAATTCCGAGATATGGTAAATATATTTCTTGCTTGGAAATGAGCCAGAATAAACAGACCTTCTCAAAAGCACAGGAAAACGTTCAATGAAAAAAAACTGTCCCAATTGGATTGAAAATTGATCTGAGAAAACCAGTCAGAAGCTCATTTCCCCGTGCCTAGGGGAGGTGGGTGATGAGATCAGGTCATATGGAAAGTATTTTCCATACATACTGAAAGGGAGGGGCATGTTTCAGTGAAGAGGAGGAAGTGAGAGCTGGTGAGCAGAATTCAGTAACCTCAGCAGAGAGTTCGGGTCATTATCAAATCAGTAGCTTTCTTGGCCTTTCAACACCCCAGTCCCGGCCCCTCAGCTGCCAGCAATACATGAAAATGTCCTGGCTGTGTACTTTATATGATGGACGCCAATTGCTACCAATGAGATTTGGAGCTAGGCTGCATATGAAATGAATCATGGCTAAAGAAAGTGGCTGCTATCAGACCGTAACAATTCAGCTGCTGTGATTTCAGTAAAGACCAGTATACAATATATTTTATATCCTGAAGATTGAACTGGAAAAATGCTTCATTTATTTACGTGCAGCTCAATTTGACATTATGGCAGAATGGAAAAGGAATATTCAAAAAAAAACCCAAAGATCTTAGCCTGAATTGAATCAAAGGACAAAATATTGGGGAAAAAAAACAATGAAGAAATGAATAATAAGAAAGTTTGGGTAAAAAGACACCCAAACCCCCAAGTTTGGAATCTGGAAGTTCAGAAATGTACCAAGTAAAACAGAGAGGTGACAATCTCTTCTAAGAGCAGTGTACAATGACCACAGTGATTGACAGCTGAGGTCCCTAGCCTGTGCTAATGTAAACAACAGTATAGACACAGCAAGAAATGGCAACAAAACAAAACAAAAACCTACCAACAACAAAAAACAAAACAAAACCAACCAACCAAACAGAAAAAACAGGCACCTAGGAGGAAGTGATAGATCCAGATGAAGGTATTTGGGGCTATGATCAGACCTACTAAAGCTTCCTAAGGACGTACACAAATACAGCCACTCAGACACCCTTAAGCTGAGATGTTTAGCGGGAATCTCAGACGTGACCCTCAAGACCAGGAACACCGGGACTGATTATCAGTTGCCTATATTTTCCCAGGCGTTAGAAACAGAAGACCCAACACCTACCCCCTGACAATATTCTTCATCACACTATCTTGTCTTGTGTTTTTCCTTTTCCAAATAGCTTGAATCCACAGCCATCCACTGGGCATGTCGTGGAGGAAACCCAGATGTTCTGAAACTGTTGCTGAACAAAGGAGCCAAAATCAGTGCCAGAGACAAGGTATTCCTCCACCCCCACCCCGTCCTTCTGAAGGCTTCTGTTTCCTTCAGTGTCCTGTCTGCCCACAGAGGTCCTCTGCTAGTCCTTATTCTGTGGACACCTCAGGCACACACCCACTTTGCACATGCCCATGCCTTGAGGTCTCAGACAGTGTCTGTTCTTACCCCGTCTGCCATTTTCTTTTTTTTTTTTTTTTTTTTTTTTAGCTGCTCAGCACAGCTCTGCATGTGGCGGTGAGGACCGGTCATTACGAGTGCGCTGAGCATCTCATCGCCTGCGAGGCGGATCTCAATGCCAAGGACAGAGTGAGTAGCTGACAAGGCTGTGTCCAGATCAGCTTATTCGAAATCACTCAGACAAGCTGGGGTATTCTGGCGGGACTCACTTCCCGGCTTCCCACTTATCACACCTGCTTATCCTTCTTCAAGGAAGGAGACACCCCGCTGCACGATGCTGTGAGGCTGAATCGCTATAAGATGATTCGACTCCTGATGACCTTCGGTGCGGACCTTAACGTCAAGAACTGTGTAAGTAGTGGATCAAGGTCACCAACTGTTCTGTTTCTTAGTTTCCAGAATTTCTCAAATATTTGAAAGTATTATGTCCATGGCAATAACTTTTGAGATAGCACCGATGGTTCAAACGTCTCTATTTCCATAAGGAGAGGGTCACAGGGTTAGACATGGGAGAAGCCTAGAGATTTACTAGTCTTGGAGCCTGTCTAATAGTTCTTTGAAAGGTTGATCTTGAATGAAGGATGGTCAAAGTTGCTCACCTTTAAAATACACATTGTCCAGCCCATAGGATAGTGCCACCAACCTTCAGGGCGAGGCTCCCTCCTCAGTGAACCCTCTCTGGAAACACTCAGTGCAGCAGTTAAGAGCACAGCTTGCTTCTCCAGAGAACCTGAGTTCAGTTCCTAGCAACCAGATGGTGTCTCTCAACCATCTGTAATGTGATCTGATGTACTACTCTTCTCGTCTGCAGGCATAGCACTCAGACATAAAATACATATGTAAAAAAACACACACACACACATTGGATAATTCCAACCTGCTTTGGTCATTCCTGGCTGAAGAGATCCCAGAGTAGGTAGAAATATATACACCAACTTTTTCCAAAATAGCTCCCAGTTACCCAGAACTGAAGTTAATCAATGTCAAATGGAATCTGGAGAATTCCAAATTGTCCTTTGCGCACAAGAATGTAAAATGTTGCCATTGCTTCCAGGAGTCACAGTGCTTTTTCTGATTTTTTTTTTTTAAATAACTACCATTCATTTTCTACTTTGACTTTTATGCATGTGTCTCAAAATAATTTCCTACATTATTTTGAGTCCCAATGTGTTAATTAAAACTCATCTTTATGCAGGAAATGTAAGCAACTTTCCCTCTTGGCTCCAATTCTCAGATAAATATCATCTACCGTAGCTGCAGAAGATAAGGGCCCCTCCCTTCCTTCTTTTCCTCCTTTCCTCCTTCCCTCCTTCCCTCCTTCCCTCCTTCCCTCCTTCCCTCCTTCCCTCCTTCCCTCCTTCCTTCCCTCCCTCCCTCCCTCCCTCCCTCCCTCCCTCCCTCTCTCCCTCCTTCCTTCCTTCCTTTTCTTTTCTCAAGAAACAGAAGACTATAAGCAGAAATAATTGGCATGCATATAGTCACTAGGACCAGGCAGGTCATATACATGATGCCAACAAGAGGCCACTACGGTCTGTGTAGGTGCTTTTGATCCCATACCTTGAGGCATTGTGGATCACAAGTCTTTCCTGATTCATATTCTCTCTCTCTCTCTCTCTCTCTCTCTCTCTCTCTCTCTCTCTCTCTCTCTCCTAACCTGAGCAAAATCTAGCCTGCACTGATTAGCATATCAAAGCTGCCAGTCTGCGACCTCTGGGATCAGGAGCGCTTCTGAGCTGAATACAGATAGAAGTACTTAGGACATCTCATATCTCAGGGGAGGAATTGAGAAGCGGTGTGGTTTTAATATGTGTAAATATCCTGAGACATGTGCACCAGGGGGATCAAATTTCTGACTGAAAATTATTTACTTGCTTCACTAACGTCAATTTCAAAGAGAGTAAACTTTATAAGAAGCCCCAGGGACAAGTCTGAAACCTACAGAGCAGTCAGCAGCTGGGCAGCAACTGATTGGTTACCCACGGCTTGGTGGCAGTACACGAACTCAGGAACTCAGGAAATGACTTCTAGACCCATGGTCTCAGGAGAGATAATACATCCTCAGAGGCCTTTCTGCAGGGTTCTAGAAATGCCTACAGACATTTTTGAACCTCACAATGACTTGAGGTGTTTCGCTAGTATGTAGGGACCAGGTTTTTTTTTTGTTTTTTTTTGTTTTTTTCCCCAATACGGATAGTTCCATGGATGGTAGATGGAAAAGCCAATAAAAGTAACATGAAAAACAGGGACAGGATAGTCTGAATAAACGGTATGTAGATCACTCATAGTAAAACCCAGATATTCTGAAACTACGCCTCATCAGCGTAGATGCAGAGTGTAAACTGATAGGCACCTCGCACCTGGAAGTCTAATTTCCCTGTCTTCTGTGCAGGCTGGGAAGACCCCCATGGATCTGGTGTTGCACTGGCAGAATGGAACCAAAGCAATATTCGACAGCCTCAAGGAGAATGCCTACAAAAACTCTCGCATCGCTACGTTCTGAGAAAAGAGACTCACCCCGAGCTGTTCACAGGTGTTTTCAAAGCATTTCCCAGCAGAAGAGCAACCAGCGATAAAATCCAGCTTTTGTTTGCCAGCCGAATAGGGAGATACGCTTAAAGAAGCTTCAAGAAAGCACCGGTTATAGGTGTTAAACGGTCCTCTAGTGATGCTCACCATCTTTATTTATTCCTATGTATTTATTTATTTATTTCATAGCACTGGCATTCAGGCTCCCGTGAGCGTCATTTTGGGGGAGCAAGACTTAATCTGTACGTAACATTCAGAGTCTTCCCATAGCTCTTCAGCCGTGCGGGTGAATGGTGTCTAATTGCACCCCTTTGTGTTCTCACTTGCATAAAGCTATTCAAAGTATCTTTCAAAGGCAGGGGTTGATATCCGCAGCCCTTCTCTGAGTTCTCACTGCTGATATCTGAAGGAAGCAACAGGAGGCATGCAGTAATGCAGAAGGGAAGGGAAGCAGTTCTGCAGGACCGGCGCTGAGGCTCTCCGCCGGCCCACAGGTTTGCTTTGGTTTGGTTGTTTACCGGATCACACGACGTCCCAAGGTGAAGGCAACGTCATGAGTTCGAATGTAGGGAGATGGAGGGAGTAGGCAACGGGCCACGGTAAACTGGGTTCGATGAAAGAAAAAGTCAAAAGGAGACTGTAAATGTGTAAATGTATACTCTGTTGTATGTTTATTTTATATTCATAATAAATGCAGACTAATTCTCGGCTGTGATCTAAATTTTTTTTTTGTCAGTTCAGTGGTAGGGATTTCTCATGTAAAAGGGGGCCTTCTAGGAAGGGGCTCATTTGTCAGTGTTTTCCAGTTTTTCAGATTAGAAATCTTGAGGGATGGAGAGATGGCTCAGTGGTTAAGAACACTGAGGGTCTGAGCTCAGTTCCCAGGAGCACATGAGGACTGGCAGCAATCCATAAGGAGGGTCATAGATCTGATGCTGTCTTGTGACTACATAGGTACCAGGCATGCACGTGGTGCACACACATACATGCAGCAAAACACTCATATACATTAGAGAAAAATAAATCTAAAAAATTAATAAGAAATGGAGGAGAAAGAGGAGGAGGAGGAAGGTGGGGAAGAAATGTCTTGTAGAAACCATAGTCTGGGTACTTGTGGGGTTATCACCCAGGGATCTTGATAAACTGGTCTCAGGTGGAGGCCAGTGAATCTGCATTTCTGACCAGCTCCTGCTACTGAATTACTATACCAAAAAAAAAAAAAAAAAAGTGTTGTTTTGCTCTGGTTATGTGAAAAAAGAGACCCCTGGTGGAATGAATGATTACTGCAGGTTAAACAAGAAATTCTTAAGTTCTCATCTGGCTGGGCTTCTTGATTCACTAATTAGGGGCCTATCAGTCACTGTATTGTGACAGGTGCTGACAGGATCAAAGCCCTCCTCCCCCTCCCAGAGAGAACATTCTGGGTCAATGGCTTTCGACCTCCAGCAGGAAAAGTGTTTTTTTTTTTTTTTTTTTTTTTGCCAAATGTTGAGCAGAGGTGCTAAAGACCTCTGGTGAGAAAAAGATTGCTGAGCCTCCGGAGCAGACAAGTATAAAGAAACACGTAGAAATAGGCATGTAAGATCAGTCTATCTTAGGCCCAGTGAAGGGAACCGTGGAATGCTCTCTCTGAGCATCTAAGATGTGGAGACATATATATGATGGAGATGGGGCAGTTATGATTTGTTTTGAAGGTGGTAAGATTGAAGGACATTCTGAAAAAACGAACAAGGGTTATTCCAGCCTAGAGTTTTGCAGGCAGCAGGAGATCGCGGGCAAGCTCAAGGGTATGGGGAGTGTTTGGAACTCGGTACGTACAGTCTGAGAAGACTCAGGTCGAACTCCAGCGCTGTGCTCCCCTGAAACTCACACCAAGTAGGCCTGTGTTCACGAACATCTTCTATACGTGCCTCTGCCACTCTGTGGGAGAGTACGGGCACGGTCTGTTACCAAGACATTGTCCAACTACGCAGCCGCGGACACTCATGGGTTGGGTGGCTGACCAGAAATGTTTTGGGCCCCTTTCTTTCTGTCCCTCTCTCACATCAAGAACTGAGTGAGAGATCCATTCTCTCAGTTCTCTTCATCTGCCATCCCATAGCATCCCTCCCTGGCCACTTAGAGATCTAAGGCAGTGATTTTCAACCTTCCTAATGCCTCGGCCCTTCTGTACAGTTCCTCATGCTGTGGTGACTCCCAACCATAAAATTATTTCATTGCTACTTCCTAACTGTAATTTTGCTGTTATAAATTATAATGTAAATCTCCGTGTTTTCGATCCCCGTGAAAGAGTTATTCCATCCCAAGGGGTTATGACCCACAGGCTGAGAACTGCTCACTTAAGCTATGGGAATCTAGTAAATGTTTCCAACACAGACAGTATTTCTCTGGCTCATGTCGAATCTGCTTGGTATAATGTGGACATGATAGTATCTGACCGAAGTGTCTTATTTGAGCCTCCCTCCTCCCCAGGAGCTGGAGAAAAGACTTAAAAATAAGCATTGCACTGTCACATTTAAACATATGTACTAACAAAGAAGTAAAGGGCACGAGAGACAGTGTAGAAGGAAAACAGGCAGATGGAGGCTGGCTCTGGCACTATCTTTGTGTGTGGGAAAGAGATATGTCTAAGGGGAAAATTCCATTTGTATCACACAGATAGGTCTGAGAAGCCCCTGAACCAATTCTTTGCTTATGATCTTTTATCTTGTGTTCTCTTTCTCACGGAAGGATATATTTCATAATGGAGAGTTCTGGAAATCATTCTCTCTCTTTTTTTGTTGTTGTTGATTATTTTTGACCAAAAAATGAGTCTTTATTGGCCTCGGCTACTTGAGGGGGATGAATCAGGAGGAGTAGGTGGCACCAATACCAGGCCAGCCACGCTTCATAGGCTTGTAGGTGATGGAGAACTTACCCAGGCAGTGAATGATCATCTCTGGTTTGATCTCCACCTGGTTGAAGGTCTTGCCGTTGTACACGCCCACCATGTTGCAGACCATCTCAGGCAGAATGATCATGTCCCTCAGGTGGGTCTTCACCATCTCGGGCTTCTCCATGGGCGGTGCTTCCTTCTTGGCCTTTCTCAAGCACTTGAGCACTGAGTACTGCTTCTGCCACAGGCCATGGTTCAGGCGCCCCTCTGGTGGGTGCTGTATCAGTGCATCAGCGGCTCACAGGACATGTCCAGCAGTTAGTCGAGGTTCACACCACAGTAGGTGAACTTGCAGAAGGTCTGCTTCTTCTGCTCCACTTCAGCCATCTTGGGGCTGCTCGGGAAAGGTGGAAGTTATTCTTGACTTTATTTTCACTCAGAGCTTTTGATCATGACCAAGTTTTATCAAACACACTGACTTCTTGTCCGTTCTGTAATCTGTGCCCTCCAACCTAGACAAAGCCTACAACATCAGGATTATTCAAACTTAACCTCCTTGAAAAAAAAAAGACTGTCGGTCTGTCTATGTCTGTGTGTCTGTGTGTGTATATGGGAGGGAGGGAGGTAGAGGGAGAGAGAGAGAGG